GTCCGCCAGCTCCTCCGTCCCACGCCATCCCGGCCCCGCTCCCCGGACCCCGCCCAGCCTGCCGGGCCGCGCCGAGCGCCCTCCCCACCCGCGAGGACCGATGACCTTGTGCTGATGGACGGTGACGTCCTCCACCGCGACTCCGTCTTCACCGCTTAGAGGAAGTTAGGCCGAATGTGAGCCAAGGTTACTCCAATCTACAGAAATGTTTCAAGTCAAGGTTCGGCAAAACGAGGCAAAAATTTAAAAAGATTCAAGCGGAAGATTTTCTCATAAACCCAGGGAGAGACCCGCACCTCAGTTCCCCTAAAATAGCCAGAACCGAGTCGGTTCCCATTCCAGACAGGGTGAAGTCAGAAGCTTTATTTTTTATTTTTATTTTTATTTATTTATTTTTATTTTTATTTTTTTTTTGGTTTTTCGAGACAGGGTTTCCCTGTGCAGCCCTGGCTGTCCTGATCTCACTCTGTAGCCCAGGCTGGCCTCGAACTCACAGAGATCCTCCTGGCTCTACCTCCCGAGTGCTGGGATTAAAGGCGCGCGCCACCACCGCCCGACCCAGAAGTTTTAGAAGTACAAAGTCATACTGTCTGGTGGTAGGGACCACGAGACGCCCCCTCCCCCGAGATAACATGACCAGATTTTGGAGATGGGCTGTAAAACTCCTGACAGAGCAAAAAATAAAAGTCCAAACTCAGGAAAACCGGACCGATCAAGGGTGGACCCGTACTAACCCCCTCCTCTCTGAAGAATTCTGTGGTTTTTGCCTTCAAAAGCTAATCTCCCCAAGAAAGAGGAACTCTCCTCCCTGCCTCCCTGGGCCGGGCACTGCGGACGGGGGTTCCCTGCTAGCTCGTATTGCGCCAAGAAGTAAACCTTGCTCTTGCATTCTGGACATCTCTGGTCTCCTGGTGGTCTCTTTGGGGGGCCTTATCTGGGCATAACACCAGTTTGAAGGTTTTTCCCTGTTTTATTTCTTATTTTCATGTCCTTTCGCGCTCTCTCTCTTCCCCACTCCCACCCCTGTGGTGATATTGTGTTCCCCAAAATGTTGTGCACCCTAATAAACTTATCTGGGGTCAGAGACAGAACAGCCACTAGATACACAGGCTAGAAAATGGTGGCACTCACACCTTTAATCCTAGTGGAAATCCCTCTGGATCTCTGTGAGTTCAAGGCCACATTGGAAATGGCCAGGCATGGTGACACACACCTTTAATCCCAGAAAGCCAGCCTTTAATCCCAGGGAGTGATGATAGAAAGCAGAAAGGTTTATAAGTCGTGAGGACCAGGAACTAGAAGCTTTTGGCCTGGTTAAGCTTTCAGGCTTCTAGCAGCTGAGAGCCATTTGGATGAGGACTCAGAGGCTTCCAGTCTGAGGAAACAGGATCAGCTGAGGATCTGGCAAGGTGAAGTAGCTGTGGCTTGTTCTGTCTCTCTGACCTTCCAGCATTCACCCCAATTACTGGCCCGGGGTTTATTTTATTAATAAGACTTTTAAGATTCCTTCTACACACACCCCCAGGCTTTCTCCCCCACCCACCCATACACACACACAGGGTTTCTCTGTGTAGCCCTGGCTGTCCTGGAACTCGCGCTGTAGTCCAGGCTGGCCTTGAACTCAGAGATGCTCCTGCCTCTGCCTCCCGAGTGCTGGGAGTAAAGACGTGCACCACCGCCTTCCAGACTAACAGTGTGATCCAAACAAAAATCAGAATTCAGTAAAAGTCGGTGCAGTGGTGCAGACCACACCTCCGAGCTGAGGCAACAGGATTGCTGTGAGTTCCGAATCAGCCTGGGCTGCAGTCAAGCCCCGTGTCTTTAAGTAGATGAAATTCAGGAATTCAGCTGGGCAGTAGTGACCACGCCTTTAACCCCAGTCCTCCAGAAGCAGAGGCAGGAGGATCTCTGTGAGTTCGAGGCCAGCCTGGTCTACAGAACAAGATCCAGGACAGCCAGAGCTCCATAGAGAAACCCTGCCTGGAAAAACAACAAAAATCCAGTCATCTTTAGAGAAGAAGCAGTGGCTTAGATTCCCTATGGCTCTTGTAAGAAGACAAGTTTGGTTTCCAGCACCCATGTATTGGTCCAGCATCATCGTGGTCTCGCCTCCAAGAGCGCCCGTGCCCACACACACATTAAAGAAAGAAAGAAAGAAAGAAGGAAGGAAGGAAGAGAGAGAGAGAGAGAGAGAAGAAAGAAAATTGAAGCGGCGGCTCACCAGATCATGTCAGCAGGACTCGGGCTCCTGTCCTCTTCAGACACCCACACTCACGGACATGTACTCACACTGAACCACACAGATATACACATACTTAAAAAACAGAGAAAATGAGTGAGTGAGAGCTCCAGAGGTTAGAGCACTGGCTGCTCTTTCAGAGGACCTGTGTTCAGTTCCCAGCACCCACATGGCAGCTCACAACTGACTCTAACTCCAGTTCTGGGGGATCTCACACCCCTCTGAACTCTGTGGGCACCTGTACCCACATGGTGCGCAGCCATGCATGCAGACAAAACACATGTAAAAGCATTTTTTTTTTCCAAGACAGTGTTTCCCTGAGTAGCCCCAGCTGTCCTGGAGTTCATCCAGTAGACCAGGCTGGCCCAATACTGTGTCTTTTGAGACTAAACTTGGTCAAATATAGCCTATTCCAACACCAAATTGACTTAAGCAACCATATTTCACTTCCAGGTTGAAATCAGAACTAATTTGGTGTTTGGAATACCTTTGCACGTAGGAAGGAAAGCCAGAGCTCTCAGGGGTTCAGTGGGGACAGACTCTGATGGAGACGAAACCTCGCATTCACCGAGCAATACGCTCCATCCCCCGAGCTAATCCAGGAGCAGTTCGCCTCTTCGGAGGTGAGATTTTCAAACTGACCGAACAAAACCGCTACTTCCCGGGCCTGGAGAGATGGCTCAGCAGGGGAGAGCATTTACAGCTTTTGCTGAGGATCCAGGATCAGTTACTGCTCCCACAGCAGTGACCTAAGAGTGCCTGCACCCACACGGTGAACAGAACCTCACACAGGTACACACATGAGAAATCCTAACTGCTACTTTTAGACCACACTTCCTTGCACGGGCCTGTGATCGTTTTGTGCTAGGGTTGAATACAGGGTCGCACATACAGAGGTGTGCTGCTGAGAGAACCTCCAGTCTGATGGTAAGGGGCTGGGGGCGTGGTCAGGGTGGAGCCCCGCCTAGAATCCCCCAGTGAGGGGCTGGGGGTGTGGTCAGGGTGGAACCCCAACTAGAATCCCCCAGTGAGAGGCTGGGGGCGTGGTCAGGGTGGAGCCCAGCCTAGAATCCCCAGTGAGGGGCTGGGGGCGTGGTCAGGGTGGAGCCCCACCTAGAATCCCCCAGTGAGGGGCTGGGGGCGTGGTCAGGGTGGAGCCCCGCCCAGAATCCCCAGTGAGGGGCTGGGGTGGGGTCAGGGCCCCAGCCTTTAACCCCAGCCCTCGGGAGGCAGAGCCAGGAGGATCTCTGTGAGTTCCAGGCCAGCCTGGGCTATAGAGTGAGTTCCAAGACAGACACCAAAGCTACACAGAGAAACCCTGTCTCGAAAAACCAAAATAAATAAATAAATAATAAAAGTAAAAAAAATAAAATTAGCAAAGTGGGTAGAAGCCAGGCTTGCACTCCAGAGCCCCTGATTCCGTCCACAGTACTGACTAAAATCAGGTGGTGGAGGGGCATGAGTGTGTAAAACGATTCACACACTCCAAGCAGTGAATCTTGGAATCTGGAGGATCAAGATTTTAGTCGGAGGCTAGAGAGACGCTCAGTGGTTAAAGTGTGCAGCTGGCTGCTGTTTGTTTTCCAGACAGCGTCTCTCTGTAGCCCAGGCTGCCCTGGAACTCGCTCTGTAGACCAGGCTGTCCTGGAACTCGCTCTGTAGACCAGGCTGTCCTGGAACTCGCTCTGTAGACCAGGCTGTCCTGGAAC